TCAATATAGAATTACAATTTTCTTTCTTTTCCAGCAACCGATGAGCTATTGCATCGAGCAATTGCCCAAGTAAACTTGATTGACGAGGATTATGCACCGTGAAGTGTTTGAAAGTCTGTTTTCAGCTGTTTTCATTGTGAAAGCTTGGCTTTTGAAAAATTTTCTTGTGTTTCCAAGTTCTACATCTCAAAAATCATCGAAGTGGATGTCTCTCAATATAGAATTACAATTTTCTTTCTTTTCCAGCAACCGAGGAGTCATTGAATCGAGCAAAGTAGACTTTATAAGAGGAGGATCTTATTCTTGCGAAGACACCGGTTTGAATCCCTTCGGCTTTTCACTTTCGTTTTGAGTAGTTTGTGGACTTATGTKCTGGTTTCTTTTGAGCTTTTACAACTTGACATTTTTTGAGTTTTTCTTCCAATAWAATCCTTTTGGGCTATCTTTAAATTGTGATGAATACTTATCGAGTATTTCTAAGCTGGATTGAAGCCGTTGGCATTGAAAATAACTGTACGGTCAACTCGGAAAAGAGCGGGAAAGTCCAGTGCTATAAGCGATTTAGTAGCTTTCTTAGATTTTTAGTTTAGGTTTTGGGTAAAAAATCCTGGTAGCACGGCTCAGAATGGATGGATTTTTTTTCAATTTTTGAAACATATGGAATGCTATCAGCATGTATGGAGTGTCTGAAATTGAAGTAAAATTTTTCGTGCTCAGGAAATCAAAACATTTTGCATTGGCTGTTTGAATAACGGGATTTGGTGACTATATATCTGTGAATTGCTCTTTGCAATAGTTTTAAAGAAGTCGATATCAATTTCACATCAGATTTGGCTCTGCAAGTYAGTSTAGCAACAAACAGACATTGAAAGAATGTAAGATTATTATATTTGTACAATGGAAAYAGCAAAGTCAAACAAAAATTATTTTTAATATCAATGTTATATTTTGGTATTTTGATCAATTATGGGTCCTGGAGAATTATTGGTACATATTTTGAGTTGCTACGCAATAAACCCATTCAAAAGGCATGTAGTGTAATTACCAGCAAGAACCACTTCGTGGAACATACCCGTGTCCAGCGCCGCGATCGATTTGATAGATTTTGCGTATCATCTTTCCATATCATTTTTTTGTATATTTTTATCATTGCAGCAAAAATTTAGCATTCAGATTGCATTCGCATTATCCTCAGCGAATAAAATGCATAAAATGATTTTAGAAAGAAACAAAGAACGAGTATATTTTAAAGTTAAGGTTGCTTCCTACAGTTGTTTTTCGACCATACCTCTCATTTGAAATTCGCTTTTTGAAAATCTTGCTATGCACCGATTTGTTTCGTGTTTGGACCAGTATTAAAGCATTGACCAAAGTTTTGTTTGGCATAATATTTAGCTCTATCAACGTTAYYTARGCAACGAAATTTGYATTTTGTCGARATTCCTTTTTTGCCAAATATCTSAAAAAATTGATGAGATCCAGAAAAGCGGTAGACAACATCATTAACTTCAAACTATTGCATATCGTTTTGAAATGGTTAAA